GGGAAGCGAGGGGGGCGTCGAGGCTGGAGAGGGGGAGCATGCAGAGCCCACCAGGATGCAGAGAGACTGGGATGTGCTGGGCTGAGGGAGGCCAGGCCTGAGGGTCAGAGAGTTTCCTGTGCTGTGTTCAACTCTCAATAAACCCTCCTGTTTTACGCTGGCTGAGAGTCGCTCCGGGCTAGAGAACAGGGTTGCATCAACCCCTTCGGGGGGGTGGAGGCAGGGCCGGCTCCAGGCACCAGCCCAGCAAGCAGGTGCTTGGGGCGGCCCACGGAGAGAGAGGCGGCACATCCGGTTCTTTGGTGGCAATTTGGCAGCGGGTCCCTCACTCCCTCTCGGCGCGAAGGACCAGCCGCCGAATTGCTGCCGAAGACTGAAGCAGCGGCAGCAGAGCTGATCGTGATCGTGCCTCTTTTTTTTTCCTGCTTGGGGCAGCAAAAACCCTGGAGCCGGCCCTGGGGGTCCAGAGCGAGGGGACTCCCTGAGGGGGCCCGTGGCAGAGACAGACGTGCTAAGGCTCCGAGAGCTGCGGCTCCAGGAGGTGGAGGGGCCTGACCCGGAGAGAGAGTGGACCCCCGAGAAGGGCTGTCTCACCCCCCCACGGACCGCACGGGGCCAAGAGTGGGCACGATCTCTGAGTCCGTGACAGCGGGGCCCTGGGGGCGGAGGGGGGGGAGCAGACATCCCCTCATCCCCCCGCCCCTCCCCTCTCTTACCCCCCGGAGGCCGCAGTCGCACGTCTCGTCCTTCTCCACCAGCCAGTTCCCGCAGTGCGGGCGCACGACCAAGCTCTTGGGCTCGGGCACGTTGAAGAGGCACCAGCCCTGGCCCCGGCGCAGGCTCCGCTCCAAGTCCTGCCGGCTGCAGCTGCTGAAGCTCAGACCGGGCATCAGCCTGTGGAGGGGAGCCCATGAGTGGGGGGGGGCAGGGCCCGGGGACCCCCCTGCGCCCCCATGCCGAGGCACCCCCAGACTCACCCCGTGGGCAGCGCCATGATGCAGCTCCGCTCCTGGTAGGGACCGAGGCAGTCACACTGGCGCCCGGCACCGTCATGGGTCATGCCCAGGTTGTGGCCCAGCTGGTGAGCCACGGTGGAGGCCACGACCAGGACGCTGACCGAGTGATCCTGCGCAGAGAGGCTGGATCAGAGCGGGCGGGAATGGGGCGTGGGGGGAGGGGGGAGGGGAGGTACTCACCACGCTGACCCCGCCCGATCGCGCGGCCGAGCACATGGAGGCCTGGGACGCCATCCCCACCGCTACCCCCTCCAGCGGGGCCCCCCTGCAAGAGAGAGCGAGTGTTAGGGGGGGCCAGAGCCCAGATCCTGGCCACGTGCGCCTGGCATCGGACAGATTCCAGCCCGGCCCCCCCCAACCCCCGCACTCACGTGAGCAGCTGGGCGTTGTCATGCGGGAGCCGGGGCAGCAGCTCTTTCTGTCTCCACTGCAGGAAGCGCTCCAGCGTGGCCTGGGCGCTGGGCCCCACGGTGATGGGGTCCCCCTGGTTCCACACTTCCACCGCCAGCAGCGCCACGCGGACGCCCAGGGGCCGATAGAACTGGGGGGGGGGGAAGCTGGGGTTAGAGATGCTGGCCGGGCAGTGGGGGCCAGACCAGAGTCACTGATGGCACCACTGCCCGCACCAGGGCAGTCCACACCGGGAGTCAGGGCTGGGACAACAGGGCTGCAGGATGGGAGTGAGGGGGGCGTGGAGCTGGGGGCAGGGAGGGAATGACACAGACCTGGGATAACTGGGGCTGCAGGACGGGAGTGAGGGGTGTGGAGCTAGGGGGAAGGGGAACACGACAGAGCTGGGATAAGTGGGGCTGTGGGGCAGGAGCAAGGGGCACTGGCAGAGCTGGGGGGAGGGGGAGGCCCAGGCTGGGATAACCGGGGCTGTGGGGTGGGAGTGAGGGGCACTGGCAGAGCTGGGGGGGGAAGAGGGCATCCCAGGGGCCATTAGGGACCCACCGTGTCCACCTGGTTGGCGATCTCCAGCATCCGGGTCTGGATCCGTTCCATGTTGGGGTAATTCTGGAACTGCAGGGGGGAGAGGAGGTTGTCACGGAGTGTGGGGGAATCAGGGCCCTGCACCCCTCTTCCTGGGATTCACCGTGACTCTCAGCCAGCCAGTAACCCAGAAGGTTTATTAGATGACAGGAACACAGTCCCAAGCAGAGCGTGTAGGTACAACCAGAACCCCTCAATCAAGTCCTCCTGGGGGATTTAGGGAGCTTAGCCCCCAGCTTGGGGTTCCCTGCGTTGCACCTCCCAGCCCAAACTGAAACCAAACCAAAACTCCTCCCGCAGCTCCTCTCTTCCCCCTCCCCCCAGCTCCTCCTGTCCTTTGTTCAGTCTCCGGGGAAGAAGGTGTTTTTTCTCCCCACCCCCTCCTACCCCAGT